TGTTTCATGTTGCTGCTGATCTGTTTCAATGTTGATGTGTTCATGCGTGCACATCTGCTCACAGACTCATGTTCATGTTTGTGCTGATGTTCAATGTTTTATGTTATGAGTGCTTAGTGTATATTTAGTTGATGTTTTTCTTAGTTCATATCTTAGATGTTATTACTGTTTTTCTTATACATTTTATTGTTGGATGTAACTGGGACCCTGTGTACATAATTTTGCTCCACCACATGTACCACATGAGGTGCGAATGACAATAAAGAATCTCTGACTCTGAAAAATAACAAAAGGGACAGAAGAACAATTTAACAGTAAATTTATTTTGTGAAAAATGTTCACTTCTTTGCAGCCGCTGCCGCCTGCTTCTCGAGTTTCTTCACCTCCAGCTTGATGATCTTGTTCCTCTGCACAAACAAGGGGCATGGATTAAAAATATAATCGATAAATGCTATGGTTATTAATCACAACACTCGTTCTGCTGTACTCACCATCTTCTTGGCCTTCATCAGCTTGAAGCGGTCAAAGTCAGACATCTTGGATCTCTGGAGACACGATTGAAACAAACATCAGTGGAGAAACGTGACAGATCTGCTTTTTGCTTCATTTATCTTCAGAGCAAGACCACCAGGCTCAGACGGTTTCTTCCCTGCAGCTGTGAGGCTGCTCAACTCAAGCTGCACTTAATTCAGCTTAAATTTGATTTTTTACTTATATATACATATACACACTCTATTGTAATGACAATTAATTAGTAATGTCATACTTTTTTTGACCACTGAATGGCAGTATAAATCATTTAAACATAAGGATGGATAGTGAGGGAGCAAACAGCACGTCTCTAAGAAAAATGGGGAGAGGGCTCTTACATGGACCGTCTCTCTTTATTTCTGTTCTCAAAATGGCGGACGCTCAGTGTGGTTTGAGCTCTTTAGCATTTTTCACACAAAGCTTTTAATTTAAAAATCAGTAAACAAGTTCTCAGAAGTGAACAAATTTCCAACAGAAATTACACCCGAACCACTTTCATTAAGATGCTAAATCAGGTGGAGAACCTGCAGTTCACCAACAGGCTGCTTCACATTTATCATAATTATCTGGAGTGGAGCGTCTTGAGCATCGTTTTAGCTCGAGTTCAGCCGTGTATGTTAATGTACTGCGTTGTAATAAAATTACTCCACATTGAACTACGAGGACAATATTCATCTGGACGTTTAAACACTTCTTTTACTCGTCTTAAAGCGCCGGCGTTGAGTTTAAACATCAGCATGAGCAGCTTTACTCACCCTAAACACTTCCCCTCTTATCAAACTAAACAAAACGTTATGTAGTTTTTAGAACAACGGTGCTGGAATTGTACTTTAGAAACTTATAATACGGAGTCCACTGCGTGCGATTACAGAACATCCATAAAGTCAAAAAGAAAACCTGAACTGCTGGAAAGAGGAAGCGAACACGGCCCACGTTACCTTCTCTCTGGCCTCGATCTTCTTGGCCCAGCTGCTCTGCGACCACTTCTCGTTGACTTGGGCCTTCTCCCAGGCTCGCCTGACGTACTTCTGGCGGGCACTGTGGACGTCACATACAGTCAGTACAGAGTCTGAGCAAAACCAGCTCTGCTTCCTCAACAAACATGGTAAACTGTAGTTTAGCAAAAGGCTGGGTGTTTTGTTGCTGCACATATTGTTTGTTAGTCACGAGATAATTTGTTGTTCCTACATAACAATCAGACTGTGGTTATAACGGCCAGCCCAGGATCACTGACAACATCTGAAACCTTGTGCTTCGATGATAAACGAGGTTTGGAGTTAAAACATGGATACTCTGCTTTAGATGTGCATGTTAAGAGTCAAGCCTGTTAAACCACAGAGCAAGAAATAAACCCAGGCGATGCACAAAACACATCCCAAACAATGAAGCGCTGCAGCTGGAGGGGCCGACAGCGGACCTGTTCGATGCACGAGGCCAACACTTTCACCCACCAAGACCCAAATCAACTGGGTCATAATCAACTACACTCACATTTTATTACTCATTTATTCATGGAGGTAGCTGGAGTGAGGACAGAGGATGAAGAGGACAGAGTGAGACGGAGGAGGATGACTCGCTGTGGAGACCCCTGAAGAGGGAAAAGCTGAAAGAAGAAGACGTTTATACCAGGGGGTGAACAGGTAAGTCGATTCTAGGACATCTCACGAGTTTTTTAAATTTCACATGGACTAGTCGCAGTCGGTGATTGTCACGTGATCAGCACTGAGCCGCTGGCTACAAAACGGATTCTTCCAAGCAGATGGAAGGCGAGGAGCATTCATCAACAGTGTGGAAGTATTTCACTAAAAAGATGTTTTTAGTTTCATTTTATTCAATCCACTAAATAAATAAATAATAATAAAAACCCAGGAGTGTGCTCCACCGGACAATCCACCACCGTGCACCACAGACGATGGAGAAACCCACCACCACCACCGTGGTGGTTTATTTATGGTGGGTAAATAAAAGTCTTGGCCTGGTGCATCAAACAGGCCGGTCCCTCCAGCTGCAGCGCTTCGTTGTTTGGGAGGTGGTTTGTGCATCGCCTGGGTTTATTTCTTGCTCTGCAGTTTTAACAGGCTTGACTCTAACGTGCACATCTAAAGCAGATTAAATAAACTAAAACTAACAGTTGCAGCTTAATAATAGTTCTGGTTTTCCTGTGACTTATTTGCAGTATGATAAATGGTAGGAGCATAAATATTCGCTCTCGATGTTTTGTTGTGTTTTTTGTAAATAATAAATTACGTTTTTGCAAAAAAATTTAGCGTCTTGAGTCGTCAAGTAGTCAATGTCAACTCAACTGTTATGTTAATGTCGACTTTAATATATGCAGTTGTTCAACCCCTAGTTTATACAGGGTCATGTGCACGGTATTTAAAAATACCGTGCACTAAAACGCCACGTTTCCACAATATATTTCATCATTTGATGATCGGCTGACTTACATTTTACACACTTTTATAAACATTTAAACACTTAAAAGCATCCCAGGCAACATTTTATTTTTGTTCTGGTAATTCATACAAATTGGGAGTACTATAAATTATTTTAAGTTTAAATTAATTTGCATCATCTTTCAGAAAAACTTGCATGTCTTTAAGGATCTGTAAGAAAAGCTTCTCACTTAAAGTCATTGTTGATTACGCTGCTCCATAAAACGAAGTCCTGTAACGAGTCAGACGCAGTCACGGAAAAAATAAAATAAAATGAAGCAGGGCTCGGTGAGGTACCGTGGTCTACTGGGCATTTGTTGCACAGAGTAATCCCCAAAAATAAAAATCAGTCTAAAGATTCCCTCTTATGTGTGCAACCTTTTAATAAGTCTGTTGACTCAGCTGCCACTTCCATTTCAACCAAAAGAAAAATAATTCTGCTTTTCTTGGACAGCTGGTCAGAATAACGGGACTCTGCACTGAATTTAAAAAGGAACAGTATCCAGAAAAACATTTGTCATCGAACCGTTTACCACCAGAGGTAGTGGCCCAACTTTGACCTTAACTCCAAAACAGCTGCTGGATTTTCCTGAAGGAGTGATAATGACTTTTTCAACACAACTGTTTGTTCATGCGTTAAACCACGCATGTCAAACTCAAGGCCCGGGGGCCAAACGTGGCCCTCGCTGACATCTTATCTGGCCTCCAAGATGATATGTGAAACATAAAATACTTTTATCACTTGAATTTTTTCAGTAATCTTAGATTATGATGTCAAAAGTGCAACAGAGAACGCCAAATGAGACCAATCAAACTCTTTTTGAGGAACCAGCAAACAAGAAAAGATGTTGTGCATCTGATTTGAGTTCATGTAGATTCTGAAACTGGTTTGAAAAAGGTTTTAATTTTGGCCCCTTTTGTAAGCGAGTTTGACACCCCTGCTTTAAACTATAAATATTCCAAAAATTAAACATTTTCAATTGTCAGAACGTCCATTTTTTCCCACCAACAAAATGCTAAATGAGAATATAACACTAATTTTCTATGGTAAACTTTGGGGTAAAGTTTTTCATTCGTTCAACCTTTATTTAGTCTCACCGAGTCACGAGGACTCGTTTACAAGAGAGACCTGTATCACCAGTTTTTATCCCTAGTTACAAGTTATAACAAAATTTAACTGATTAATATTATCCTAACCAATGAAAATGCTTCTGAACTATGTCAATCTCTTAAAATATGTAGAGATCAGGAGAGTTTTTGTGGCAGCTGACAACTTTTCACTATGTCGAACCAAAATTCAGGACATTAACCGTTCAAAAATTGAGATCTTTTCTATTTTAAACCCAGACACAATCTTAATTTAGTCTTTTCGAGTGCTCTCAATGAGGATGTTTCCTCTGGACTTGAACATTTTGTGGACACACACTTGGTATGAAGCACGTCGATGGCAACGCTCACCTGTGAGGTACTTTGATGACGTAGTCAGTGAGCTGCATGCGTTTGAATGGCATGGCCTGCCTCTTTACTCCTGTGCAGGGACCATCAACAAGGGCCTGGAAGGCACGAAGTAAACATCTCCATTAATGATTTAAAGACAAATGCACCGCATGCTGACTCGGTTTTCTCCAACGCTCACCCTGTTTTGGTCAATGACATCTACGATGGCCACCAGCTTGCCAGCATAAGGTCCAAATGCGATGTAGGCAACACGGCCGATCTCTACAAAGCGCTTGTACACCTGAGAAAGACAAGACACAAAATCTGTACAATTAAAAGGAACAATGTCTGGGCTGGTGAATATCAATCAGGATCTTCAGCCACACTAAATAAAACCTCATCTACATTTTCATCATGTGCATGCTAAGTAATAACTGGGTTATGAGCTGTCAACAGAGAAGCTCGCGCCAGGGAAGTGTATGCACAAATACTAAAACTACGTGGATAGCATAACTACGTGTGCGTTTTATGAATTCAAAGTCATTCAAGTCTAAAATGATCAATGGGTTTGGATCAACAGGACGCTTTCCGGCCTCCACAACCCGAGAGACCACGTTGCGTTGCGGCTAGCAGCCGACACTATATTCGCCTTTTAAACCTTAAATACACACACAATAATGTAAAAACTCCTATCGTGTGTGCGTGTAAGAATGTTAGGAAAACATGCGTTCTTTGTTGGTCTACAGAAAACACATGAATCACGAGAAATTCATGATAACTATCGTCCACTTCTCATGGCGAACTCACCATGATGGCAGTCCGGGAGCAGAAAGGACGTTACAGCTTCCGCCTGCTTCACATACGACTTCCGCTTTTCCTACGCACATGCGCAGTCAGACTTGTTTTTAAAAAACATTGCTGAAAATACTTAATAAAACTTTGATAAGTATGTCTACTAAAATTACTTTTTTTATTTGGGAGCTACTTGCATTTTAGTTTTATATTACGTCATTTTAAAAGGCTGCGTAATATCCACTGGCAAAGCTTAAAAAAAACGTCTGCGTCAGACTATCTTGTTTCCTTTAAGTCTCATAAAATGTCGGAAATAAACCGACCGATTCAAACCTAAACCCAAACGGCCAAAACAAACGTTTGTTTTAACTTGACTTTAACTTTATCAACAAAGAAAAGTAAAAGTATAAAGTAATAATTTCTCAACCAAAGCGTTACATTAAAAATAACAAAACGAAACAAGTCAAGAGGCCGCATTGAAAAAGGTGGTTATTGAAATTACAATTTTCTTTTGGTACCTGAACGCACCATCAGGGTGCGGCCAGTAACGACCAGCGCCATCTATTTGTGCTCGTGAAGAGTCTCCATTTTAACAGTCTGGTGGAAAACTTTTGATGTCTGAACACGGAAGTGCTCAAACATCAGAGGTTTTCCATACTTCAGATTAGGTAAGTTACCTTCTTTATTTGATTCTTAAATATATACAAAGTCTATTTTTACTGATTTATTTCCATTTTAAGTCCGAATTTTGTCGAAAGAACAAAAGCATAGAGGTGGAGGAGGAGCTTTACAGGAAACGAAAACTCAACTGGACTTTTTGTTTACTGCGTTTCGACACGTCGCACTTTGTAACAAAGAGAGATTTTATTTATTTTATTAGCTTTACGTGTGTTATTAGGTTTATTTTTATTCTGAAAATTCATCCATCCATTATCTTTTACCCGCTTCTTCTGAAAATTCTTATATATATGAAACAATGCGTTTATACATGCTGTGTAAGTTGTATAAGCTGAAACATGTCTAAAAAAACCTTTCTACATAAATAGTATAGATTTTGAGGATTAAAAAAAACTAGATACATTACATGCACTTGACAATACATGTACTTATTTTGAAAAACATTTGCTTTAAAGTACTTTTAAATCCAAGTTTCCACAAATAATTAACTTGAAGTTTTTTTTCATTTGAAATAAACAAAACATAAATATTAATTTCAAAGATAATTTTAATTAATTTGATTAAACCAAAAACAATGCTGTTCTGTTCATTACATCATACATTTCCTTGAAGTTGTAGTTTTTGTTTCTTTTGTACAAATTTAGTTTTTGTGTAGATTTGTTGCCAGAATAAAATCAAAAGAAATCCAGATGACGGAAAACAAATGTAATATTTTTTAACTGCCGTGTTGTGTGTTTGAACATTGTTAATAGTATATATATATATAATATAATATAATATAATATAAATTTAGGTTTCTAGATTTACACATTCAAGAAAAGGTTAAACAATAAATGTCACATTTGTTGCACATATATGCCATATTTCAAATAATGTTTTTTCTTTTTATCTATGTATAAAATGAATATTTATTTTGTTTTTCTACCTTAGGGTTGCAAGAAACATTAGAGGGAAGACGTGTGCTAAAAGTCCCCACCTTTGCAGCTTCACACCTGAAATCAACCAAGAGATTTTAGGTAATATTTGAACAAATTCATCAGGACGTGTTGTATAAATTGATCATGACTACGGTGACATTATTATTTACATGAACGCTCCTACAAGAACCCTGCAGATGTTGGACACTATCATGGTGCACTAATATTCATAACTGGCTGTAACTACCGTACCACCACTGTACCCAGTATTCATTGGTTAACTGGTCATCATTAACTTCAGACTCTCTCACTGGTACATTCTCATCTTTAAATCACTCCTTGGTCCGTTGCCTTCATACATCTCCTCCGTGTCACGTCGTCACTGCAGTTACAGCGTGCGCTCTCAGGCCTTCATTATCTGCTTCGTCCCCTCAGTGTGGACTGAACTTGACAAAAGTCCTTTTCTTACTCTGCTCCTGTTTCCTGGAACACATTGCCAAAAATCAGAAGTTGTCCACTTTGATTTCTTTAAGAGATTTGAAACAATTAAGTTCATGTTAAAACCAATGCAGACATGTTCCTGTTTTTAGTTTTACACCTCGTTTCATAATGTAGCTTGATTTGAGTTTGGTTTTTTTTTATCACTAATTTCATCTAATTTTTATTTTGTATGCATCTTGTGGCTGTTTTATTGTTGTGCAACTCATCTGTGGTTTTTAGTTTAAAACAGGTCTCTCTTGTAAATGAGTCCTTGTGCCTCAATGAGACTAACCTGTATAAATAAGGTTCAATGAATAAAAGGATAGTGGTTATTTAAACATGTATTTCTTTGTAAAAGTGCTCCACTGTGTGATAGAGAATCTTCCTGTGTCAAACATTTTTTTGTTTGTTTTAATTGACAGGAGTCATCGGAATGGAGACCTGTAACTCGTGAGTACCAGTTCCTTGTTACACCCAGAGATATTTGAATTAGACATTTGTATATAAAATGATCCCCTTGTTTTTGGTTGTACTTGTTAAGTTTGAGTCAGGCTGAAAGTTTCAGTTTGTGGTGAGAACGAGTCGCAAGGCGCCACCACCGCAGTACACCAGAAGTCAAAGACCTGCACTTTGTTTTAGAGGGTGTGGCGTTATCCTGCTCAGCTTGTTTTGATTATTCTACAGCTATGATGAGGGTAAACCTTTTTATTTGTGCATATTATTTGTCCGACCTTCTCCAGCCGTACATTTCCTCATGCTCTCTGAGGTCAGCAGATCAGCTGCGGTTGGTCGTCTGAGAGGTGACGAGCGTTCTCAGTCGCTGCCTCTGCACGTCAGACAAGCTGACTCACTTCCTGTTCTTAAATCTGCTCTGAAGACTCTTTTTTTTTCTCTTTGGCTTTAACTCAGCTTGAAATGTTGGTTTTACTGTTTTTAAGTTGTTTGTTTTATAGTTTGTGCTGTTTGCTGTTTTGATTTGGTAGTTCATTACTTTATGGTATTTGCTGAGTTTATAATTGTTATGCTTGGATGTGTTAGTGTACAGCACTTTGACCAACGGTGTTGTTTTAAAGTGCGTTATAAATAAAGTTGTGCTGTATATTATAAAGTTATGCTACATAGATCTACTTGCCTGCATCTTGTTAAATTTAGATATATATATATTTTTTTTAAGATGTGAAACAACTTGGTCAACCGTTCAGCTCTTCGTCGTTCGTTGTAATCTAACTCTGCCTCGGCCTATGCAGAATGAATCATGTGACCTGATGCCATCTGCTCATCGACTAAGGTGGAGAAGGCGTGTGCTTGAGTATCAGGTTAAAGCGGTGAATCATTTATTCTGATTGAGATCGTCAAGTCCAAACTAATAATGTTATAGCTGAATGTACTGGAACTGGAGCCTGACCCTGGATTTACAATGGAGAGAGTGGATTTTGGGAGTTTTGCTCTGTTTCACTCTGTTCATGGCAGGACTGATGTGGACTCGTGTCGTCTCGCTGTTCTTTTTATAAGGCGTGGGGGTAAAAGATGTCCATTAGCCTTAGATTGAACTATGATGGACACTGAGTACATTCACATTGAATGGGTAGTATTGACGCATGTCCAGGAGCACAAGAGACTGTCTAGAAAAGTGATATTCATCATTTATTGAATTA